GCCGCTGGGGGTCGGGGGCGGGGGGGGGGTAGGCTACGTAATGAGTGTCAGAGCAGCCAGGGCTGGACAGTGGGACCCGCTATCAAAACACTAAATCAAACAAAACTCGATGGCCGGACTGGCTTGCTTGAAAGGACGATCTACGGTGACAGGAGGCATGAGGCAAAGAGAGCAAGGACAGCTCGCTGGCTGCCAGCTGAGGGCAGGGTCAAGAAGGGATTGTGTTGGGGCACTGACTATCCTTCACAAAGCAAAGCGCTGAGCGCTCCCCTCTCAAGTGCGACAGCGTGAGAGGACCCCCCCCCCCCACATGGCTACTGGTGACATAGCTCAAAGGTCTTGTGGAGAGGAAGCTGAGCCCAAAAAGAGCAGCCGAGGAGGTCGCTGTTCCTAAGGAGCCAAGAGTGGTCCTCTGAGAGAGCACTACACTTCCGAGCTGGCCCTCAGGCCCTCTCTAGCCATTCTCCCTCCCACCCTCCAGTTGCTGCTGTTCCTGGGCCCTCCACTCCCACACACTATCATCCTTGCCCGGGTTGTTTGCTCTGCCTCAAAGGCCCTCCCTCAACTCCAGCTTCAGGGCTATCACTGGCTCACTCTCAGTCCTAAGCCAACCTCTCAAGGCCCCATGTATCCAAGTGTATGTCACGGACATGAACTGTTTCTCCTGTTCTCTGTTCTGCTTCAAAGAGCAAAGAAAGTGCCCTTTCAGACTCTTCGGTGTGTGTGTATGTGTGTGTGTGTGTGTGTGTGTGTGTGTGTGTGTGAGAGAGAGAGAGAGAGAGGGGGGGGGGGCATTCTGCCTTTCCTGCATCTACCTGGCCCTCTCTTTAGGCAAGACCTCACTCTGCTAGGGGTGGCAACTTTTCACATGGGTCCCCAGAGCCCAGGCAGCCTTTGAGGAACACTGCTCAGGTGAGGAGGGACGATAGCCCCAGATGTGCCCTCTGGATCATCAGAAACAAATTGTGTTATAGTCAGGGAAAGAAGTTCCAAAACTTGGGGGCACAAAACATTCCTGGGTCTGTGCCAAACACCATCCAAATACACCAGGCTTGCTGAATCCACAACACCCAACACGGAGCCTGAATGGTCAAGGAGGACTCTGAGCTAGCAGAAAGCAATATACCCTGGTGGCTAACAGGTGGTCGGTCAGGAGCTTTCAAAAACTCAATTAACTTAAAAGGCAGCAAATGTCCTCATACGCTGCACTGTGAGCCCCTGGGAAATCAGCTTTGTCCTATTAATCATAGGGATTGTATCTTTCACGCCATGAGCGGCCCCAACCCCCACTACCCACAGTGTTTGTCCCCTCCGATCCCAGTTCTAAATACCAAAGCCACAAGGTGCTTAGAAACCAACTACAGGGCAGTAACGGACCCAAAGACCAGATTCAGGGGTGTCCAGGCCTACCTAGGAGCCCAGGCAGCCCGAGGAAAGATCGCTCGGGTAAATTGCATCTCTGTGCTGGAAACATGGCTCTTACTGTGCTTTCACATTGGTTCATCCAAGATGGGGACCCAACCCCTTTCCACCATCAGTGGTACCCTAGATTTCCATCCTGGTGCAGAGGTTGTATCCCACACAACTTAACTCCTCCTGGAATTAGGACATAGCAACCCAGGACAAGGGATTTTCTTTCCTGGCTCTACAGGTGGATTCAAGCCCTGCCCAGCTGTCAGGGAATTCTGTGATTTCCACAAAGATAAGACAGACCCTTCCCATCCCCAACCATACAAAATCCAGGGTGCACACACTACAAGGCGCTTTACCCCCCAGGGGACAAACCCCATTTGCCTCATACCCTTCTCAAATATCCTGAAAGATGGAGGGCAAGCTGGGGTGAACCTTTCTCATGTACAAAAACCTATCCTCCCACATTTAAAAAACAAAAACCAGTTTGGCAGGTTCCCCCCGAAACCTGGGTGTCACCCAGAGGAAATGAACCATAACCATCCCAAAGAAGAACCCCCTACTCTGCCTGCTTCTCCCTGGAAGGGGGATAGTGCAATTGGAGGTACAGGGGACACACATACAACCCAGGTGCCTCTCCTGACTTGCCACTTCTGGCATGGTGGTTCTATCTAGATGGAACTGTCACCTGACCATAATCATCTGGAAGGTTTCCTAAGCGACCCAGGGAGCCTGTGATTTCAGGCAATTCACTCCTGCAAAGAACAGTGTCAACTAGCACAGCTATCCCCATGACAACACTGCTCACGCTCCACCCCACAGAGTCTTGCTTGAAAGGAAAAAGGATAGCAGGATTAGAGGTGGGGAGCTGGCTGTGACTTGTGGCCACTTTGGAATACTCTTTATCCCCCAACACAGGTACCTAGCGATGAGGCATCCCCCACCATCACAGGTACCTAGCGATGAGGCATCCCCCACCATCACAGGTACCTAGCGATGAGGCATCCCCCATCACAGGTATCTAGCGACAACATGTCCCCCATCACTCTGAGTGAAGGACTGCCTGACTATGAGGACCCCTCTCTGCCAGGCTTGAGCCCTCACGGAAGGTGTGTGTCATCCTGGGCACATGACCTACATCTTCTATCCAGAAGGGAGCAGTGTTGACCCCACTGTACAGGTGAACAAGTTGAAGTTCAAGGAAGACACATGGTGACTTGCCTAAGCAGTAAAGCCAGCTATAAAATTATAAAAAAAATGTAGTGTAGGGACACTTTTGTTTAAGTTACAGAGAATTTCAGAGCATCGGGTCATAGGTGGGCTTTTCCAAAGGGTAGAGGGGCTGCCCAAGGGATACCCAGGTATGGAGATGAACCTTGAATGGGGGCAGGCTGATGCAGAAGTTTCTAGATTTGATTAACTGAAGACTCACCCTAACTGTGGGTGACATCACACTGTAAACTGGGGTCTTGAAGTGAAGGAAAAGGATCAAGCTAGCTGGCGGCAACATCCATCCCTCTGCTTCCTGACTGCAAACACAATGTGACCAGCTGCCTCCAGCCCCGGCTGTCATGACTTCCTGCCTTGATGGACTGTACCCTCCAACTGTAAGCCAGAGATGACGCATTCCTTTCTGTTGCTTTTGTCAGTAGCAATGAGTAAAGTAACCAGTACATCAGATAACAGGGGTTCTACCTGGAGCCAGGCACCTAGAGCCTTCCCTATTGGGCGTTTCCTATGGGGACGGATGCTAGGTCCTCCCCGGCTTCCCACCTAAGATCATAGTGCCCGGTACCTGGAGTAGCAGGAGAGACCAGTGCTGAGAATGGTGTTCAGCACGGCCAGGGCTACGTAGCATTCATGGAAGGTACTGCAGATCAGTGCATCAGGGAACGTGTATGCAGAGTAGGCGATGGCGGAGCCTGCGGAAGAAACAGCAGCCTTGAGACCCAGGCAAAGCCACAGCACCACAGGACTCCTGGGAAAGGCGACCTTAGCCTTCATCTTCTGCACAGAATCCTGAGCTAGCCTGCCTCTCTGCCTTCTCCGAATATCCTCTTGCCTCTCTGTCCACTCAAAATCTATAAGGTTATGTCCTTGTTAGAGATGTGTGTGTGTGTGTGTGTGTGTGTGTGTGTGTGTACTCATTCTGTCTTTACAATCCTGTCCCCTGGAAAGCTTACACTTATTTTATAGAAGCAAAGGAGACACAGCCTGGTGGTAATCACCTGAAGGGACCACAGCCTGGTGGTAGTCACCTAAAGACCACAGCCTGATGGTAGTCACCTGAAGGGGACCACAGCTGGTGGTTGTCACCTGTAGTCCCAGTGCTGGGAGGCAGCAAGAGATGGGCCCCTGGGGTCATCAGCCAGGCATCCTAGCCTAATCAGTGACTCTCAGGCCAATGAGATACTTGGTCTCTCAAAGCACCACCTGAGGTCCCCTCCCCTCCACACACATGTAAACAAACCGAAGTGCTGACGGAGAGGCCTGAGCATCACCTTCCCGAAACTGTTCAGAATTCCTGTGGGCGTTCACCCAGGAACTCAGCTCCAGGAGACCAGGGACCCCTTCTCCATACCTGATGCTCAGGGAGATGTCTGGACCAAGATGTTCCACTGATGCTGACTGGAGCGTTGCATACTAGATAAAGGGGCTCAAACCTGCCTGAAAATATAGCAGGAAGCAAAGCTGACCTGAGCCTAGGGGTTCCCGTGGGAGATGGGTGTTTGAGATAGGCCAAGGAGCAGGTAAAGGAGACCACTGTCAATCACAGCAATAGCTAACCCTGCGAGATAGATACAGAATCAAAGCATTTGAATTTGTTCATAACCCTGCTATATCTGCTCAAGAGGACAAGGCTTAGAAAAGCTAAGAGACTGGTCTAAGACTGAATGTGGAACAGGTGGCACAAGGTCAGGATCTGAATCCAAGTGCTGTGTCAAAATGTGTATCAGAGGGGCCTGAGAGACCTGGTTCAGTTTCCAGCATCCATGTCGGGAAGCTCACAACCACCGGTAACTCCAGCTCCAGAGGACCTGTTGGCCTCCACTGGAACCCACACACGTGGCACACAGACAAACAGAAATAAAAATAAATCCATTTTAAAGAGGTGCGTGTCGGGGACTCAGCACACAGCTGGCTGAGAAGGACTTCTCAAAATGCTTGTTTGTATTAGAATCCCCAGGGAGCAGCCGAGGATGTAGCTCAGTTGGTAGAGGGCTTGCCTGACATGCACACAGCTGAGCCCCACTCCCAGCACTGTCTAAATCGACAGTGGTGGCACATGCTTGTTTTCAGTGTTCTTAGAAAAAGAGGAGGGGAGGGTCAGGAGTCTAGGTCATTCTTGGCTACACAGCAAGTCCAAGGCTCTACTAAGGAGTCTGAAAGCCTTCTAGTGGGAGGGGACCTGGCAAGAGATGAGGCAGGAACTTGCCAGGTAACATGGTGGAGCTGAAAGGCAGAGCCCTAAGAAGCTCCAGGTCTGAATCAAGCTGACTGAGGGTTCATGGGACAGCTTGAGTTTGACAGCTGATTAGATAGAACGGGGAGTAGAGGTGGGAGGAGGAGCCGGAGCTTATTAGTTCAGACTTGAGCAACACAAGAGGTGGCACCCCTAGCCAGGGACCCTAGAGAAAGAACAGGCTTCAGATCCAATGTTTAAAGATAAGGTTTAGGAGTCCCTTGTCCAGAGATGTTAGGGATGGGGGGCTGCTCCTGGGCATGCTAGACAAAAGGACCCATAGTTAATCCTGAGTTACTGAGAATTCTGAGTGTGCCCAGCTATGGGGTAGAGGGGAAGAAGGAACCAGAAAAGACTGAGAATAAGGATGTTGGAGAGTGACATGAAGGGACTGGGACCATGGCAACCAGTTTTAATGACTGGAGAGAACTAGACAGTGGAGCACTGAGCAGTGTGTTTGTGAGTGTGTGTGTGTGTGTGTGTGTGAGGGGGGAGCAGGTGTACACTTGTGAAGGAAGAGAAAAGAGAAAGAAAGATGAGGGTAGCCTCCTCCTGGACAAATGCATGCAAAAGCAGATACAGTGGCTGGCTTTCCCAGCTAGAGCGGGGCTGGGAAGGAGGAAGAAGCCAGAACCAGCATCCTAAGGGATGGATGATAACCGTGTGGAGGAGAGAAGCTTCCTAGCCAGAAAAACAAGTCAACGAGCATGAGGCAGCACCACCCACTCCCAACAGTTCCCCACTTCTTCAGTGCTTTGGAAAGTTGACGCCTCTAAGCCTCTGGGCAAAGGTGGTTTATGACTCCATCCTCCTTTCTCACTAGGCAGACCAGATCCCAGCCCTGATGTGCTGGGGTCAGCCCATGGTGGCCCGTGAGAGCCAAACTGTGAACATTTCAGAGTCCTTGTAAGCCTGTGGTTAATCCCTAACACTAAAAGTTACAGTTAAATAAACCACAGTAACCAAAGTCCTAAGTACTTAGCACATGGACCTGTGTGGTGGAGTTACTGTGTAGTGAGGTTGCTCCTAAGCTTCTCCTTAAACCTCTACAACTGGCGATGCCACTCAGAGAACGGAAAGGGAGACAAGGCAGGGACATTTACACCATAGAATTGGCAAACATGCCAGTGAGGGTATATCCACAGGCAGGACACCTATGAACAGGCTTCTTACAGAGCCCCGGACAGGGCTCCTGCACTTCCATGACTTTGCTGAAACCCTAAAACCCATCAAATCTCCTGGGAGACAGGTGACACTCTTGGGAGGAGGGGACGGAAGGGCAAGGGCCTCACGTACCCAGGCTGAAGAGGTTGACAGCACCATAGTCCAGAAAGTAGCAGATATGCCGGGCGTTCTTGGACATAGAGCTGAAGGTGTGTGCACAGCTGGATGCGAGGGGGTACACGCAGCTGGTGCACATGTACACGAGCATAGGCCACGAGTAGCTGTCATTCTGGATGTCTGTCATATACAGTGCAGTCACGAACCTCCACACAAAGAACCTGGAACAGAATGTGCACCTGCTCAATCCCCTCTGGACTGTTGGCTGCCTCCCACCCCCACTGGGAGATGGCCCGTCCAGTGACTCTTCTCTAAAACGAAACGGCATGCACTAGAGAAGCCTCTGTGCTTGAAGCAGTGAGTTAGGAAGTAGGGTAAAAAGACAGTCCTTAGAGATAGGATTCTTCCTATAGCATCTTGCCCAAGATATTCTCCAGTCTCAGCTTACATACCCCTAAGAATGAGGGTCTCGTCCCCTCTTACGGTAGCTCTGAGTATTGGGAAGACCATCCTAAGTCACATGTACCTACATTGGCCTACAACTGTATGTGTGTTTTGCCTACAGAACACCTCCCTTTCACAAACCACAGCTGGAGAGCTAGGTAGCTTTCCCACAATGTCCATCAAGGAAAGGGACTCTACATATCTCTTCACCCAGTACCTGAAGGAGAGCCATAAAGTCTTTCTGGCTACCTGCTTTCTCGTATGGTCTAGCAGAGGGGGCACTTAGGCTCTTTGCTGTTCCTCCAAAATTTTCCTTTCGTCTCAACAGATTCTTCCTCATCCTATTTGCTTGGGGTATCCTAGCGCAGGTTTCCCTGGGCTCTCCAGAATGCTCTGTGCTGTCAGGGTGGATGACCCGAGAGCCTGGCTTGGTTTTGGGAATTGTGAGCAATGTAGACGACTCAGCTGTGCATGGACCTCAAGATATACAAGCAATGGAAGGCATGACGTAGTGGCACAAACTTTAAAATGGTCTAAACAGATAATGTGATCTTCAACGGGAGATGGGCAACGGGAAGACCATGGGAGAAGAGACAGGCAGCGGGGCGCACATGCCACAGTCAAGGCTGCCTGGGAAAGCTCTGGAGGGCACACAGAAACAAGTGGCCCCAGCAGCTCCAGGGAGGAGAACGGGGAGCAGAGGAACAGCCTGGATCTAGTCCCTTGGGGGGGCCTCCAATTTGTCAGCATGTCCAGGTTGTTGTTGATACTGCTTTAAAACAGGGCCCCCATGCACAGCCCAGGCTGGGCCCCAAAGTCATGCTCTTTCTGCCTCAACTTTCCTAATCCTGGGATTACAGGCATGTATAACCATGTTCAGAAGGCATAAAGTCTTTCAAATTTTTTGTATTTATCATTGTGTGTATGGAGTGTGGTGTGTGTGTGTGCTCGCACACGAGCGTGAATGCTTATCACATATATAGAGGCCAGAGAACAACTTTGTGGAGTCTTTTTTGTTTCTTTCTGCCTTGACATAGGTTCTGGGGATCACACTCAGTCTGCCGGGCTGGCTTGTCAATTGCCGTCACTCATTGGCCCATCTTGACAGCCTCAGATTTCTACGTAAGCAAAGATTTAATGTGGCTAACGGCCTTCTCGAGCTACTAGACCTTGCTGCCACTGGCCGGACGGCAGGCCGCAGGGCGGTCAAGCTTCTCTAGAGATCACCTCACTTCACCCCAAGACTGAGTCGCCTCTCTCCCCTCCTGTTAGTTTCTGGATCCCCACTCTATCTTCTGACATCTATAGAGTGGTATATTATTTGTATTTTAAAAAATAAATCAACCTGAAAACCAGAGAAGCAAGGCAGCCGAGCCCCTAGAGAACTCTTAGCTCCACCAAGGTTGGGCGACCACAAACTAGACTAAGCCTCTCTCTCTCCCCGCATTTTATATTCCCTCCAGTGCTGGGATTACAGGCATGATTCCCTAGTACTAGGATTAAAGGTGCAAGCAACCACCACCTGAATTTACTTCTGCATTGATTTTGTGTAGCCCAGGGTGGCCTTGAACTCACAGAGATTCATCTGCCTCTGTCTGCCAAATCCTGGCATTAAAGGTGTGTGTCACCATTTCTTGACCTCTAGTGGCTTTAGCATTGCTTCTGGTCTTCAGGCAAGATTTATTTATTAAAATACAAGTAATACACCACTACACATCTAGTTGGGCTAGCTGTTCCAGGCTAATCACAGGGACCTTCCTGGGGCTCATGTCTGCTTGCTACACTCAGGGACTCTCCACCTAGCTCAGCTTCTCAGAATGACTCAAGGGATTTGTTTAGACCTGGCCTGGGTCATCATCTGTGTGCTGTGTGGACAGTTTCCCCTCTCCAGCTGCACCTGCCATCATGTCAGCCCGCAGAGGTCTGAGTAGGACAGTGACCTGCTGACCGCTGAGGTCCTCCTAGACCTGACACATACCCAACCCTCCAGACCTCCACCTTCTGTTTCCTTAGAGTCAACCAAAATATCCCAGCGGGGAGGGCTGGCTTCTGTACTGAACACACACTGACATTTCTCTTGTCCTTATTGTCTGAATAGTGAAACAACCTTTGGCATAATGTTTACTTGGCCTCGGGTATTTCAAGGAATCTGGAGATGACTTAAAGGACATGGGAAGATGTGCGGAGAGAAATGTAAATACTGTGCCACCTGCCACACAGAGAACTTACAGGTTCTGGCATCTTTAGGGGACCCTGGAACCAATCCCCACAGATACTCGGAGAGCTGCACCATGGTGTGGAGAGGTGACCCTGTCTCTATTTCCAGAACCTTTGCTCGAGGTGTGTAAAGTTGGTCTTCACCCCACCTTTCTCAGCAAGGAGCCTCCTTAGCCTTCCTGGAAACCCCATTCTGCACCCTTACTTCCCAGAGCTTGGCTCCTACTTGGCTCCTAGCTGGCTCCATTAAAGGTGACCAATGGTACATGGCTGCTATAGTCCCCAAATAAATTACAAGCACCCACAACCGTGCCTATGTATTTTTTGTTAGTTTTTACAGAGAGGGTCTTATGTAGCCCAGGCTGGCCTCAAACTCACTGCTAGCTGAAGACGACCTTGAACTCTTCCTGCCTCTACCTGCAGAGTCCTGAGGAGGGTGAGGCTTCCAGGCCTGGTTCACACAGTGCCATGCAGTACTAGGGATTGACAGCAGAACCTGCCGCACACACACTACAACCCGAGCTACATCTCCAGCTCCTGCCTCTTTGTCTTGATCAGGGTCTTCTCTCAGTCCTCACAGCACCCCCAAGGCACAGACAGAGGATCATGCCTGCTCTACAGGCAGAAAATGCCTGGCTCAGAGAGATTAAGTGACTTGCTCAAGTTAGTGACATTTTAATAAAGACTTCTCAAAGACCAGCAAAGCCTGTAAGACTGAAAGAGATGAAGATAAATGCTACCCAGTCAATAGAAACCCTAGAATCCTATGGCAGTCCACAGCCTGGCGCTTAGTCCATGACAGTCCTGGCTCCTTCCCCCATCACCCATGCACCTGTACCCACAGGGGACCCCCTGGCCCTAGCATAAAATCTTCCTGTCACCCAGCTGTGTTTTACAAAGTCTAGTCCCCAGGGATCCCGAATGAGATAGGTTGTCCAGGGGGCCGAAGGTACCAGAAGGGTAGCAAGTGCGTCCAGATGTTGAGAGTCTCATTGGTCATTTGGAAAAGGCTGAGGATACAGGCAGTGGCGGAACTCTGTGGGTGTCGGTAGCCAAAGAGGATGCCCTGCTCATGGAACACCTGTGGAGGGAAGACAAGGGAGGGGCAAGGAGGTGAGACAAAGGGAGGGGTGGCTCTCGCTAACATCAACTTTCCTGGGTGACTGAGTAGTTCCTTGGCCTGGTCCTTTCCCTCCCTGCCTTTGTCCGCTCTTTCCCCCAGGAGCTTCTAAGAACCCTGTCCTCCAAGCTGTCCCTAGCCAGTTGGCATCTAAGGTCCAGACTGGCTTTGGGAGTGGAGTCTGGCTCTGCATTCCTGGCTAGGCTTACCCTTGGCATGAATGTTGTCTAAGAGTCCGTGTTTGCACTTTGCCTAAGGCCAATGGCCTGGTCTTTAGATGTCTTCGTGGTTGGCTCTCATGTATGCTGTCTGCCTGCCCTGGATGTCAGAGGCTGGTGGGGCAATCTCTGCGGTAGAGCCTCCCAGTGGGATGAGGCATCCACAGGGACTTCATAAAGGCCTTTTGATGATGAGGCCGATGATGATGCCAGAGCCTGGACTGTGGGAAGAGGAGGCTGGCCACAGCAGGATCACTGAGCCACAGCCCCCACCAGAGACCACTGGTAAGCACCACTTTTTCTTCCCCCAGCACCTCCGGTAAGAAACTTAGACTGGCTAGGTAAGATGTGGGGTACTGACTTGTCTGATGTATTGTATTATATCCATTAAAATGGTAACCAAAGGGCTAGGAGGTGGCTCATGGGTGAAGGGTCTGTTGTATAATCATGAGGACGTGAATTTGGATTTCGAGTGCCAGTGGGAGGTACCAAGCACGGGAAGCAGCGAGGGCCTGTAACCCCAATGCTGGCGAGGTGGAGACAAGGATCCCTGGGGTTTGCTGGCCAGCCACTCTATCAACTGGTGAGTACTGGGTTCGGGACAAGACCCTGTCTCAAAGAATTTGGTGGCAGCTGGGTATAGAAGTGCCCACCTCAAGAGGCAGAGTCAGGGAGAGCGCTGTGACCTCAAGGTCAGCATGGTCTAGGAAGCACACGCCCGGTCAGCCAAGGTTACAGAGTGAGACCCCGCCTCAATAAATAAATGGATAGACAAGGTGGTGAAGCAATGAGGAAGCTGTCCAGTTTTAACTTCTGACCCGCGTGTGAACACGCATGCGCTCATACACACAGTAACTGACAACACCCCAGGGCACATGGGCCCCATCTCAGAGGGTAACATCAAGCGAAGAAAAGTGGAACTTAGTCCCGCCATGACTGGCGAGGCATACTCTCACAGTGGGGCGGGGATTGGGGAGAACACAGACGAGGAAAGGGGTCCAACTGCCGAGCTAGTTGGCTAGCAGGAAATTAATCTTCCTTTTTGTGGTGCTTAGCTCAAGGTTTCCTCACACTTCTGGCATTTGGGGCCAGATGGTTCCTTGCTGTGGAAGACTGGCTTACTGTGTGCCTTGACCATCTACCTGCTACCTGCTAGAAGCACTCTTAAGTACAAACCCCTTTCCATGCCAAGTTATGACAACTCCAATGTCTCCAAATACTGGGACAGTCTCTTGGAGGCAACATCTAATTCTGGCTAAGAACACTGATCTTGTTTGTTTTGTGACAAAGGCTTACTCTGTATAGCTCGGCTGACCTCAAACTCTTGGCAGCCCTCCTGCTTCAGCCTTTCAAACGCTGATATTACACGTGCCGTCATGCCTGGTTAGAAGCACGGATTTCAATGGTTCAAAGACTGTCATAACCTTTGGAAGGTAAATTATACCTAGTGAGACGGCTTCCTAGGTAAGGCGCTTACTGCCAAGCCTGACGACCCTAGTTCAATTCCCAAACCCACACGGTGGGAGGAGAGAAATGACGCCTGCAAGTTGTCTTCTGATGTCCACACATGCATGCTAAACGCACACACATGCATACACACACACACACAGTATACAGGAGTAGGTTGACAGAGACAAATTATTACAGTGTCGCTTAGTATTTAGCCCCCATGATGGAGGTCATGCAATACTTCCTAAAGTTTCCCCTGCGTCTTCTTGAGGGAGGAGGGGACAGCGGCAGAGCCCCACCGACTCAGCATGCATGAAGCCTCAAGTTTTATCCACAGCACTGAAAACAAAAGCAAAGCACTGTGCCAAGCAGAGCTGCTTCCCCCTCTTGCTGTTCTAGTCAAGAGTTCCCACAGAACCATAAATAAAGTAAGCAAAAAGCCATGTTTGGAAGCCAGGCCTGGTGGCACATGCCTGAAATCTTAGCTTTTGGGAGGCTGAAGCAGGAGGATCTCTATGAGTTCAAGGCCAACCTGGCGTACGTAGCAAGATTTCATCTCAAAAAGAAGCAGCACACTGATGCCCCATGGGTCCTATGAAACGGGATGGTGGAGACCTGCAGGGTTCGTGTTACAATTTCCTTTCTCCTGCTGTGATAAAATACTCAGACCAAAAGCTACTCAGAAGAGGAAAGATTTATAATCCCAGATCACAGTCTTTCACTGAGGGAAGGCAAGGGGGAAACTCAAGGCAGGCCTGCTTGCCAGTCCACACATCATTAACTCCAATCAAGAGACTCACTTCACAGCCAGAAAATGCAGCAGGAACCATGGAGGATGCTGCGTGCCGACTACCTTGCTCACAGGCTCAGGCTTCAGCTAGCTTTCTTACATAGCGCTGGATCACCTGCCCAGGGAATGGTGCCGCTCAGAGTGGGCGGGCCCTCCTACATCAACTAACAGCCCAGAAAATCCCGCATTGACATGCCGGTGGGACAGTCTGATCTGGGCAGTTCCTCAGCTGGGGTTCACCTTCTCAAGCGATTCTAGGCTGTGCCGAGTGGACAGTTAAGACTAACCAGTGCAGCAGACATGTGGCTTTCTGGTGTGAGATACAAATTTTCGGAAACGTTCAGTTCATTGCTGGGTAAACTGGTGAGACAGAGGGAAAGGGGCAGAGAAGCTGATTCATGGTCTCATCAGGAAATACAGTTTGGGGGCTGGAGGGATCGCTCATCAGATAACTGCACTTGCTGCTCTTGCTCAAGACCTGGGTTCACTTTCGAGCACCCACACGGTGGCTTGTAACCGCATAACCCGCCAGCTCCAGGGAATTGGTCACCCTGTTTTTGCTTCCTTGGGCACCACACAGCAATTTGACCGGGGCCAAGTGAGGTGGGTGTTGGGGATGGATAGGACCAAGATATATTGTGTACATGTGTTACACTGTCAATAAATAAAAGATGTTGTAAACTCATATATAAGAAATCAGTAAATATATACATAATTTTTTTAAAAAAAGAAATACAATTTAAATTATGTTTGAGCTTTAACTTATGAAAGTGATTTGCTTCCATTTTTAAAAAACAAATCATCTTAATATTTATCTTTTTGGGAAAGGATCTCATATAGCCCAGGCTGGCCTTGAGCTGGATACACAGAATAACTATGAACTTCTGATCCTCCTGCCTTCACCTCCAGTGTTTTGAGATTATGGCATGCACCACCACACCCTGCTTATGGAGTTCTGGAGATAAAACCTAGCACTTCTAGCAGACTAGGCAAGCGCTCACCCGCCTGAGCCGCATCCCAGTGTGGTGAGTCCACAAACATCATACAGTAAATGGACAGCTGACAGACCTATTGAACTATCCACGGTAAGTGTATACGTACACTCCACCTGGAGAATCCGTTTGCAGAGCTGCAGGGGGCATCTGTCCTTGGATAAGTCACTGTCAATTTTATAAAAGTCTTGTGAAATCATGGCATTTCTTTCTCCCATATATCCCAGCAGTGTCTAAACCTGACTGTTCCTGTAGGGCGACTGGATGCCTCCCCGACACTGTGAAGCCTTGGTGTGAAAAGGATTCAGCCAAGTCCTTAATCTCAGAGGCAAAATCTACACAAAAATAGTCCCCACAAAGTTTCTTTATTGACAGTCGTCACTGATAAGAAAGGACCTCACACAGGAGACTCAGGAAGGTGTGATCTACTGGTCTTCCTCTCTGGTGTAACAGGCTACTAATAGTCTGTATTACCCTTTACATTGGTAATCAACTAATATAAGCTCACAGCCCAGGAAATTAACTGTTTATACAGGAAAAAGGCCTGAGTTGCTAAAACTAGCTTCAGAGAGAAAAATTATCACCAGGGCACCCTGCTGGGGGTCAAAAGCAAAGTTCCCAAAAGAGATTCCCTTTAACTCAACCAGCTAGATGCTAATGCAAATCAAGCCTGCAGGTTAGTGTAACCACCAAGGCTGTGTGTCCAGCTGCAGGGGACAGAGCCACGCCCCCTCTGAGACATAAGGTGCCACCTTGCCAGATCCACCGGTTTCTTGTGACTCTGAAAATGCGTGCTTGATACTATGGCTACCGCCTATGGGATTGTTAACTTGTCTGTCGGCCTATATAAACGGACAGCTTTGTAGAGATCACCCCCTTTCTCTTACTCTTCCTTCTTTTGGACCCTCATGTCCGATGCCTTCCTTGCCCTTAGCCTTGTGCTTTGCCTTTGCCTTATGCCCCAGGCTTCTTCTTTTCCCTTATGCCCCTCTCCTAAAGAAACATCCAGGAAAAAACGTGCCTAGCTCAGATCCCATTTCCAAACCAGTCTTCGCTTGTCATCGAAGTCCTGTTCTGAACCCCGAGGGAGTGCTGAGGCTGGTACTCAGTAACCTCCATATCCCCGGCCCTTGCTCCAGTTTGGACTCACCCTTCTGCTGATGCACCTGGCTTACAGTGAACTGATGTGCGAGTCCCCTCTGTATGCTGTGAATACCATTGGTGAATAAAGAAACCGCCTTGGCCTGTTGATAGGGCAGAGCTTAGGTAGGCATGGAAAACTAACTGAATGATGGGAGAAAGGAGGCAGAGCCAGAGAGATGCCATGGAGTCACCGCCAGAGCCAGACACCGGACGGAACTTTACCCGGCAAGCCACAGTCATGTGGTGATACACAGATTAATGGAGATGGGTTAAATTAATATGTAAGAGTTAGCCAAAAAGAAGCTAGTGCTAATGGGCCAAGCAGTGATTTAAATAATATGGTTTCTATGTGATTATTTCGGGGCTGAG